ATCTCCAGGCAACCCAGAACGGCACAAATTTGAGCCGTTTTTCTTTGCATGGTTCTTCAAGTTGTGACGTCACCTGCCGTCACATTTACAATGACAAGTAGGCCTCGCCATCCCCTCTCCAATGCAGTCTTCTGTGGCTTCAATTTCTCACAAAAAAATTTATAAACAAAATATGTTCTGCATTGCAAAGGAGTATAGCTACAAGTCTATGGTAACATTAAAACATGTTTTTCTTTTTATGTAATTTTGGGGCGGTGGAGGTGGTGGATATGTTTGCCTGACGTGAGGATTTTCTACCTAGCTGTTGAAAAGTTTCACAGGCTTGGGCTATTGCAGTTCTGATGAGAATGAATGCAGGGGAAAGGAGGGGGAACAGATGGAGAAGAGAAATAAAGGATGATGAAACACGGGTTAAGAAAATTAAAGTAAAATAAAGAGTTGGCAAGATGTCAATCAAATGTGAAAAAATGGGCACATCTAGAAAGCGAGTATCACGACGTGTTCACAGTCCTGCAGAAAAATTCACGAGAAAAATATCACTGGCACACAAATAGGAAAAAAGAAGGGGGCGGTCGTATTGTCTCACACGCCTTGCCAGAAGCCCAGAGGCGTCTAAGATAAACACAGTCTTTCAGAGACGTGTGCCCGTGGACGGTGTACCCTTTGGGAATAGCATGTCCACAAGAGAGCATGAAACATTGAGGCTTTTCAGTGAAGCTAAAAGCACAGTTCATTCTGTAGTGCAGCGTCCACATTAAAAAATATATGCGTCAGCGTTTCTGGCCGACTGCAGTGCTCGCAAAAGGGCTAGTTGTTCTTTTGATGCGGTGCAGGTTCTTTTGCGTGTAAGCGCAGTCCGCTCTTAGGCGGTGGAGAAGGCAAGCGAACTTCCATGTTAGGCCACGCGTACAGGGTGATGGAGGAGGTACATCAGACGCCGCACTGGAAACGGGATGCTGTTGTATCCAAGTCTTAATAGCCCATTTCGCATCAGAGTGGCTGGGCAGATTTAATGTCGCAGCGGGTAGTTTTAGAGCGGTTGAGGTCAGATGGTCTGCCATCTCATTTTCGGTTAAGCCAATGTGTGAGGGGATTTATTGTACTCACAGGTTAAAGCCATGGGAGACAAGTAGACAATCCAGACTAACTGTTCAACGAATCAAATCAGGATTAGCACCTTTGCTACTGAGGATATACCGTATTTACTTGCATAATGAAAGCACTCGCATAATGAACGCACCCCCCCCCACAACGGGTACCAATATTTGGACTTTTTCTTTTCCCTCGCGTAATGAACGCACCTCCAATTATGGGCTCCATGAGTCTCGAATTGCGTCCAAATTAGCTAGCCACCAAGCCCACCAAACCAATTTTCTTTTGCCGCCAAGCGGTCAGGTCAAGCCAAGCCAAGCCGCTCTCGTGATGGCTGCAAGTGAGTAGTTGCGGAAGTGATCAACCGTGAAATCGAGCGGCGCGCACTCTTGACGAAGCTTGGGTCGAGGAACTGCCTAGCCCCAGACATTCTTCGCCTATCGGATGCACTGATATCAACAAACACGCTGTCGTCTGTGGTCCGCTTTCGGACAGTGAAGTCGTGAAAGTGGTTAGGCCTAAGAAAGGTCGTGTTGCTCTTCGTGCTGAGTGAGCTTCAAAGGGCGCTTTTCCTTCGGCAAAAGGCACGCCGAAGGTGCCCTAAAAAGGTTCACAATTTATAAAGCATGGTTATTGCGGCGTGCCCCCGACCAGCCGTGGGTGCGCCTCCATCAGTGGAGACGTGCCACAGTACCTTGCCGTGTCATATTGGCACCTAATGCGACATTTGCACAAAGTGTGCAAATGCAAAACTTTTACCCCGCGTAATGAACGCACCCCCCAAATATGTGTCAATTTTCCGAGAAAAAAAGCGCATCCATTATGCAAGTAAATACGGTATTGCACCACACACCGAGAGTGTGTTGCCAAAAGCCAGTTATGCGCAATGTGTTGCAGTTTGTGAACAAGAATTTCTTTTCTCAATATCATCCCACCACAACCAAATTGGGACATTAAAATATGTAGAATGGAACTATCTAGGTTTGGCTGGAAGGGTTATTTTTTTATATTTATAAAAAAAAATTAAAAAAAACATTCGTTAGCCCCTTGAATTGGCATTTTTACCATTTTTAATTATTTTAAAATGAAAGAAGCATTGCACACATTATTTTTGTGATTCATAGCACTCAGTGGTTTAAAAGGAGCAAATTAGCTTATTTACTAGGCTTTTTTAGAGCATTGCCATGCCTCACGCATGCACAAGAACATATCTCAGCAAACTTATCTGGAACACATGCTAAGCCTACTCTTGGCTTGTTCTATTTTATTTTTTTCTATGTGAGCGTGCATAGCTGGCGCTAGCCCTAAGCTATTTCTCTTTGTGTCCCACTATGTCCGTAGCATACCTTCAGTTCACGTAAATATGCGCAGTTCTCTCGTATTTTATCTTTTTTCTGCATTCAATATTGAATCCCGGAGAAAAGCTCACCGGAGAAAAGCTCACCGGAAATAAGCTCACCGGAGAAAAGCTCACCGCAAAACCGGCGGATGCGGAGAAAAGCTCACCACCATGGAGCGTATGCGGAGAAAAGCTCACCAATTGTTTTTCTTTTTATATGGAGGCAGTTGGATCATGCGTAACCTTTATCAATTTATTAACATTAAAATTCGTCGGCTTACCCTCTACGCAACGAAGCCTAACTGAAAACTTTATGCACTTGAAGCACAGGAAAGAGTTTGAAAACTTAATAATGTCTGCCTAAAACTTAAAATCAAAACTGTAAATGCCGAAAATCCGAAAGCGCATGCACAACAATGCGGTGCCTGAAATTCTCTTTGAAGCTTTTGTTCACCTTTGAAAACAGGATAAAACAGTCAGTAGGGTATCGCCAGGCTTCTTTCTTCCACGGGCATGTACGTTTTCTAGCCGTTCATGCTGGTGTTTCTACTCGTTGCCTTTGTGCGACAGTGGCCTTCTACTGCAAACCACCCATGACCTTCAAAGCTCCACATTCTCAGCGTTGTTACTCGTGACCTATATAAGAAGCATTCTTCTTTAAGGCAGCGAATAGGTGGAGTTGGTAAACGTTATACCATGATGAAAACCGCTCAAACGACGACGACGGAGTGAACACAACAAACACGACAGGACGAGGCTAGTCTCACAACTAAAGGTTTGTTAGTGAAATTAACAGAAAGAAAACAGCGTAGCCGACACTAATTACATCAACAAACACCTACGTATCTATTAGGCACTGCAAAATATTTGGAGCTGAAACGGTTCACACACCGCTATTTATATTAGCTCGCAAAGAACAAACCTCTTTATCTCATTTATCTGACAGAGCTAGCGAAGGCGCACTGTCAGCTGTCAATAAATTGTCGTCTTTTCTTACCAGTGCACAATGTTCTTATTTTATACTTGCGGCTAAATTAATATACAGAATGGGTGATTACTAATTTCTGAGGAATTATTAAATATGCCCAATGAACTTCAAGAATATTACAAAGAAAGAGGACATATTTTTAATGAAGTGACGAATGCAAATTGTGTTAAGATGCCACGTTTGACGCAGAATATGCTAAGTTAAAAAAAAATTCGGTGAGCTATTTTCCGCATCCGCTCAAAGGCCGGAGAGTTTTTTTCCGCATCTGCCGGTTTTGCGGTGAGCTTTTCTCCGGTGAGCTTATCTCCGGTGAGCTTATCTCCGGTGAGCTTATCTCCGGTGAGCTTATCTCCGGTGAGCTTATCTCCGGTGAGCTTATCTCCGGTGAGCTTATCTCCGGTGAGCTTATCTCCGGTGAGCTTATCTCCGGTGAGCTTATCTCCGGTGAGCTTATCTCCGGTGAGCTTATCTCCGGTGAGCTTATCTCCGGTGTGCTTATCTCCGGTGAGCTTATCTCCGGTGAGCTTATCTCCGGTGAGCTTATCTCCGGTGAGCTTTTCTCCGGTGAGCTTTTCTCCGGTGAGCTTTTCTCCGGTGAGCTTTTCTCCGGTGAGCTGTTCTCCGGTGAGCTTTTCTCCGCCGCCCTTCAATATTCCCCAAGTATTCCGTATAAGTTTGACGACGACTGTACATAGCATCGAGAACCTAAAAGAATAAGCTATATCAAATCTAACACCAGGTTTATAAAGAGAAGATTAAGCACCATAAGCTGTTAACATTTCATTTCAATATCATAAATAATTAAAAAAATATATTCCCTTGCACATGTCCCCGAGAGCCACGCAACCAGATATTCCAACAGGTGGGCGAAATGACACTTGGTCAACATTGTTTCGTACACAACCCTCCTTGGCTGCATTGGTGAGAAGGTTATTTCGCACAGCTTTATGAGTGACTGCCATCCTAGAATTCAATTTTGGCAATGTATGTGAAAGGCATGTATAGTAGTGTCAGGAAATCGATAGGGCCCCTGTATAATTGTATGACAATCAGATCTGACCGCAGACATAAACTTCTTTTCTTTTTTTTAAAATTATTTTTAACTTTCACATTGGTAAGCATCATCTGATGAGTAATTACTATTTAGCTAAAGATAACCTGCACAAAATTAAACTGGGACTGCAGGAACTGAGGGCACAGCATCTACGTTTTTTAGCAATGGGGTACAAATATAAAAACTACAAATTACCAACACAAAACATAATTTTCTTCTACTGCAAATGCCTTTGTTTTTCTATGCTGAATGCCTCAATCCCCACTGCTCTGATCCCTATGCACAGAACAAAACTCTTGCATTTCTCAAATCAGTTTACTCTATGAGCATATAGAAGCTGCTTATTATAAACAAAGCATGATGTATACACAATAAATATTGCTCAAATTTCTACACTGTTCCAGGTATGTCCAAAGGTTGCACTCAAAAAGATTTACTGCTTCTTATTGAGAAGAAACAAGGTCAAAAGAAAGAAAGCATATTATGGTAGAGCCAGCCTAATCGATTGAGATAAAATATATGCATACCTCGTTTCTGGAAAGCAGCTGAAGTAGATCTGGTAACGTTTCACTCAGCACAGCAAGACAGGCTCTTGCAGAAGCACATGCAAAGGCTTCTAGCACCTTGCCCATACCAGGAGCCTCGCCACGCTGGAGATCTGAAGGCAAGCTGAAGTTAGCAACATACCTGTGGTCAGCACTGGCACACACTTTGAAACATACTGGAAAATTTAGTACTATTTATAACAAGAATAGTGCACAACATAATACTTCTGTCATGCACAGAACACACTGTGTCTAATCATAATACTTGTTATACACAGAACACTTATGTCATGCACCGAACAGTGTTCACATCATAACATTTGTGTGTGCACATAAGACACTGTGTTCACATTAGCTCCTGCATAAAAAAATATAAAATTCTTGGAAAAAAAAAAAAAAATAGGGCAGCTGTATACTATAGTCAGTGACAGGCTAAAAACCCAGTGGAAAATATCCATGAAAGGGATTCAAATCTAACTTCCTTAATGCCACGGCTTGACAAACTATCTTTTGTAGCGTGAGCTACACAGGCCGAGGTTGAGCAGTTTCCCGTGGCTCGCATAATGAGGCGTGCTCCGTGCTGCGCATGCGCGAGGAGCAGTGACGTCACACGGCGCACAGCTGGCGCGCCACGCGCACCGCCGCCGCCGTGCTCGCCTCACCGGTCTGCGCATTCCAGAGTGACGTTGCACCGGAGCCGCTTGATAGCGCCTCTCATTTTGTGCGCATAAGCTCACGCTACGTATATCCTGGCATAGCCGAGCTAAGCCACCGCAATTTTTTTAAAAATAACGAGTGCGGTCAGCGATGCTGAGGCCGAAGACACCGGGTTCTGCAATGCTTTTTCAGTTTTTACCCACTCAGATTTAAGTCGCAAAGTTGTGGCGGTATCTACTTTTGTCTGTGGTAGTTTCTGTGTGCTGATGGAAGAGCCCAGTGATCTTATCACCGTCAAAGTGTTCAGTGTGCCTGCTTCGTCGACACGCTTCGTCTACTAAACTACGATCGACACGCTTCGTCAGTGTTGACGACTTCTCTTTGTGGGTTCGCTACTTGCCCCTGATCCACATTAAGTCACAAAATCGAAGTGGTAGAAGTGTTTCCTTAGAATGATTTCTGTGCGGCAATGTGAAAATGTTCTGGTTGCCGTGGTACGCTGTGCAAGATGATGGAGTGATGCCACCACCGTGCTGGCTCACTGGACTCCGTCTACTTCTCTGCTAGATTTATAATTAGGGTTCCGCGTTTTCGGTTTCTATTTTTTTCAAAATTCGGCGTACTTTTTTCGGTGTTTATTTTAAAAATGAATTTTCAGTTTTTTTTGGCGTATATTTATGCCCACAAAAGTTTATCGGCTTCTTTCGGTGAATATAAAATAAACACCAACCGACACTGGATCAGATGATCCTTCTAGCTCTGATATTTGTGATCACTCAAAGAATAATGGCACCGATACACTGAAACATAAATGGACACTTTATTTGGCAAATGTGTGCAACTGTAAAAGAAATAAGAAAAAAACAAAAAAACTCAGAAGTACAAACAAGTCAGATACAAAGCCTACGCCAAAAAAACATGGAACTTCACCTGCTGTGCATCAGGATTATGTGATCTTATTATAGTGCACACACGTGTACTTTAGCTTTTCCAGGCTCTCCTCGTTGATCCGGGCTCTTGTTTCCTGTTAATATGACCCTGAGCTTTGAGAATGCCCACTCAATGCTAACACTGGACACTGGCGGGTTGCTGAGACGAAGCACTGCCTGAGCCAAAATCGGCCAATCAACCAATTGTGACCGCCAAAAGAGACACGCTGCACCGTTTTGAAGTGCAACACACTATGCAGAGCATCCATGAAGTCAGTCTTCCTTACAACGGGTTCGAAAACACGCTCATAAACATGGCGAAGTTATTACGCATTTCGGACCACGTTCCGATCGATGATGCCCACATTAAACCAAAACGTCGTGATGGCATCCGTGTATCCCATACATTCGGACACGTTTCGATAGACACTATCGTTCCACTTTTTTTTTGCCACGGCTCTGCGGTACAACTGGAAGGTCAAAGTGACCTTTTTCGATTAAAACTGAATTTTAGAAAATGAATTCAACATACTTTTATCGGTTTAAACCGAAAATGCCGAGCCTAAAAACTGACCTTTTTCGGTTAAAACCGAATTTTCGAAAATGGATTCGGCGTACTTTTATCGGTTTTTATCGGTTTAAACCGAAAACTTCGAACCCTATTTGGAATAAATATAGGATGCCCCGAAATGACGCCTTTCCAAGTAGTACTTTTTCATCTGTGAAACAAGGCCCGTTGCCAAGTCTCATTGTTGCGATCGGTAGCATTGTAATTCAGGTAAGCAATGACTGTCTTGTCCTGCCACTGTCACACGTGAAAGCGTCATCTGTCAAAGCTACAATCGTGTCCTGCCATAGCTCTCGAAGGCACGAGGTAGAAAATCTTCCGTTCTTCTTCTCGATAGTCGTGTATCACCTCGCCACAATGTCGTCCTGATTTATCAGCAGCAAGTTTCGCTCCTTCCCCTCATGCCTAAAACCGATGTTGCCGATGTCGCCATATCAAGCAGCAGACGATGCACTATTTTGTCGAGAGCCAAGCAAACGCATTATGCCTGAGGGATAAGCATGCCCTAGGTTCTTAACCTGCCAGTGACTACAAGATAATATAACAAAACATAAAACAGAATTACATCATCTGAATATTTTATTTTGCTGTCACTCAGTAACAGATGCAAGCTTCATCATCACAATCAAATAAACATTACTAGTACTGTCAAACATCAAGCATACGGTCATGTCTTAATATGCATCCACCAGATACTTTGAAACATTTGAAATATAGTTAAATGAGATAAAAATTGCCCACCCCAGTAAACTTCCGAGCCTCCTTGGCTAACTGAAGTGCTGCTTCTCTGACAGGCCGATGCAAAGCGGTGAAGGTCTATGTGCATGCGTCGGTGGGGAGCGCTAAGGCCAGACATGAGAGCGCTGGGGCAAAGCACGCTTGACGAGTGTGGCACAGCTTCTTTTGAAATTACAGGTTCCATCAGAACCCTTAATTTCAAAATGTACTGTTCCGTAGGCGCAAAGAAGGCCCAACCTTACCACACGCTCTTTCTGCTTTTGGACCAAACAAGTGCACATTCCCATTTTGTCATGATTATGTATCTCCCAACTTTTGTGTGGGTGCTTGCTCGGTATTTTACGGTAGTTTCAATTTCTAGATGAAATTCTAATTTCTAGAAGACAATCAATTTATGCTCATTGATGAGACTGCAATCTTGCAGTGTACAACCCAAGAGTACAGAAGCAAAGCTGAGGAGCCAAATTTCCAGCAGTCTATGCTGGAAATTGGAAACTGAAAAAAAAAAAAAAAAATGTAGAGCCCATCCACTTTACGTGAAGATGGAGGACCAGCGAAGCTGGTCCTCTACCTTCCTGTGAACTTTGAGTATGATTCCTAGAGGACGACGTCTAGGACGACATCAAGGACATCTAGGACAACCTAGAGGACGATGTCTAGGATGACCTTGAGGACAACGCCTAGAGGACGACGTCTAAGACAACCTCTCGGACGACCTCAAAGACGACTTCTAGGACGACCTCGAGGACGACGTCAGGGACTTCTAAGACGACCTCAAGGACGACGCCTAGAGGACTTCTCGGACAACCTCAAAGACAACTTCTAGGACGACCTCGGGGACCATGCGTAGAGATAACAAGGGATCAGGACCCCACTACCTAATAATGCCAAGGAAGGCTGACTCACGCTGGTTGTCCCCTCTTGTTATTTTTATTTATTCATACTTGCCACGACCAAAGGGGAGGTGGTTGCCCCCTCTTTTTATTTTTATTTATTTATACTTGCCACGACCAATGGGGAGTTTTCTGTTAACATGTGAGGATATATTTTTCCCCAGACCCTAGCACATAACAGATTTGCTGTAAAAACAATATTCGAGCAACAAATTGTGTTCTGGGTAGTTGGGCTCTCATAGGTAATAGAGAGTTTTAGTAATACGTATAGGAGCAAACGCAGACCCCATACGTTAACGTTGCGTCCTCCACACTGCGCATGCGCCATACGTACGTACTGCGGCGAGCCTCGCGTACGTACGCTCGCTATCGATTTTTGCGAACGTACGTAGCGGTCCCCTGCGTGCCATCTCGCTGCTCTCGTCGCGCACGGGAGAGCGCGAGACTAGTCCAGTTTGAAAAATGGCGGCGGTGAGGCAAACCAGCGGAGGTGCTACGCGCATTGTACGGGTTCGCTTTACCATTGAGGATGACATCAACCTCCTCAAGGAAGTCAACGTGACGAATCCTTTCGAGCACCCACAAAGATGGGTGTCGATAGCCAAGAACGTTGGCGACGCCGTCGAACCCAAAAAGGTGTTTACCGTGTGGTCGGTACAAAAAAAAAAAGACAAAACCTTTTTAACAAAGCGAGGACGGGGCTTCGGATTGGCTTGACCAAATACCCGCCTTGGATTGTTTGAAGCAGTTTACAGGAGCACATCTAGATGGCACTACAAGTCTTTACGTAGGCGTTCTTCTTCCGCTGTACTAAAAGTGTGTACTCGACGCGCTCCGTAACGTTCCGTTGACGCAACGTTAACGCTAATGTAGGGGGTTTGTGTTTGCCCCTATACGTATTACTAAAACTCTCTAATGTTCTAATAAAGACCTCGGCGAGCACAAATACTGTCAGTTTCCCTTTAACTAAGATTCCTTGTATTTTTTAAGTAAACAAACTGGACGAGCGTATAAAAACCTTAATTTAATTCACAAAACATGTTTATTTGTTAAATCTAAGCGAACTAATGCTATTAATAATGTGGCGGAAACAAATGTCTAGTACATAGCTTCACATCTTAAAGGGCAACTGCAGTTCATTTTACATATTAGGAAAACAATGCAATTCTTTTTAGTATTGTCTAAAAAAACCACACGTCAAATATTTTGACCTAATTCCACCTAAAGGATGATGAAACTGGCAAACAAAGTTTGAGGTACGCGAAATAACTAAAATCTGCTAATCCTAGTGGGAGAGGCATGGCAAAGCCAACAGCACAGTCAATCACCACCGTGTCGGCGCAGCCCACCCTGCGCTACCTACGTCATGCTCGGGGCTCCCAAGGAGATTTGTTTGCTTGTTTTGCACTTTTTTAAGCAAAGCCAACAGGTGGCGTTAGCAGCGCACTCATCGTTGATCACGTGATTCGTGGAACCTGCATGCGCATGTGTGCTCTCGTGCAAGCATTCGTCATCGCCAACAGTGTCCGTCACGTGCGAGAGCCAGTTTGAAACATTTAAGCACAGCATACCTTTAAGAAGCCGTTGCGACATGTTCGCGTGTGGTTTACTGAACTTGACTTCCTCCTAATGTTTACAAAAAGAAGTCCTTGGGAGAACTTGCCTTTTTCTGCGCTAAAGCACAAGCTGCGACCGCGGTAGTACAGGCGTCGTCAGGTGTGGCAGACTGCCGATCGTAGCAGACAACACTTTTGTTAATGCGCCGAGCTGCGCCCGGCCGCTTGGTACACGACATCACGATTTGTACCACGTGGTTAGAGCATGTATAGATGACGGCATGGGAGCAATGCTGCCCGACGCAGGCAAGGTTTCGGGTTCGGTTTGTGACGAGCTTTAAATGAAGATTGTGTGATAACTATTATTTTTTTAAAAAAGAAATGACGTAGAACCGTTTATTACTACCTCGGGATATATAATCAACCACTAACTCAAATTTCTTGAAATCGACCAGAGTTGACATTTAAAATGGAATCCAAAATATATTGTCTTTCCGAGAGCACAGATTTGTGTATCCAAACCTTATAGTATTACATCTGATTTTTATATCATCTTTTAGACCATTCCAAAGGCTCTTCATATGATAAAAAAAAATATATATATATAAAAATGGCTTTTTCAAAAAAATTGAAGTTGAAATTTGTACCTTTGTTGTTTTTTTCTCGCAGTCAAAGTTGTTTTTAGCCAAGATAACTTTACTTGACTATAACATCTTTGTTGAATAGGTATTTGTTTATGTTTTCACTTGATATATAATTTATGCCTTAAAATTTAATGTAACAAAAGCTATCATCCAAACCAGATAAATAATCATCAAAAAAGCCAAATTCTGGTTTAAAAAAAATTAAAAAAAACCTTTTTGTAGATATTTGGTGCTTTTAATGTAGTTTAAGAAACAAAGTAAAATGTTTTTTGTGCAAAAGTCATATAAAATCTGGTGAAGCTCCCAAATATGCGACCTGTGACTAAAAATATGATACAAAAAATGGTTTTCAGCTTTGTCCTAGCAAAGGATTTGCCTAGCATATATATTTTTTTCAGAAGCTTTCGTGACTTGACCCCCTTTTGCAGCACGATTTGGAGCGAAATCGCCCCATGTAAATAAAGCGTTGTGTGGGACACTTGCTTCATGTCTCATGTAAGCAAGAGCATCATCGGTTTTTACATTCTAATGGATTATAGGTACTTTATTGCGGTCCCCCGACAGACGTCTGAAAGAGGCTCTATTGCATTTGTTTTCGGACCGCACAGGCATATAACAAACAATTGAGCTAAATCTGGAAATAGTGCCTAACCCATCTCTCACCTTTCCAAACAAGCTTGAAAAGTCTGTTGATCGAAGTAGCCTGAAAGGAGAAATGAGCAAGGTTGTCACAACCCTATCGCTTTATCCTATGCAAAGATATACTTCTCGTAGTATGGCCTACTTTCAGATTTCATCGAGACAACCACCTAAAAACAGTTTCAATCAGCTTTCTTTCTTTTCTTAATTTACACTCATATGCATGTTGCATTTGAAAGTGTATTGCAAACGTAACTACTCTAGCAGCGACTCCAATTAAACTAACAGCAGTATTCGTAAACAAATCAAATGATTACACGAGTCAAATGCATTGTTGGCCCTTTGAAGGGACCAGATAAATTGGTTCCTTAGTATATCATGCCAAGAGTTTATACACAGGTATAACTTTAGACTAGAAATTGGTGCATTTTGTGCACCAAAATTTCAAAGAATTAACTTACCCGAGTATAGAATAAAAAATTAAGAACCCAATTTCAGTGCCCTGGCATCTGTCTGCTAAAAAAAAAAAAGGAGGCATCTGATTGGCGCAGCAGCCGACAGATGGAAACTGGTAAGAGCGAGAGCACAGACACCAATCTCCAATCACAAACAATGTTTTTTTAATCAAATGCAGTGCGAGTTTTTTTGGTATGGTGCATGATTTTGTTATCTTTACTATTAGAACAGAATATATGGATACAACCAACAAGAAAGATTCCTTGTTGGACTATATACATAATATCAACAGCTCCCGCCATCCCTCGGCTGTCGCGTCACCCGGACGTCTTTCATTTGCAGACGGCCGCCGTAGGTGGCGAATTCACACTTTATTTTTTACTCTTCATTTAGGTAGTAAGCTCATTTTTTCTGTTCAAAATCTCATCTATACAAAATCGCCCCTGTACAAAATCTCGGCTAGATATGTCAAAGAGGCACGGAAACAAGATACTAGCTCCTAATTATGGTAAGCGCAGTTCTGCCAGGGTCGATGACGTCGTGGGCACGACAGATATTCCAAGACGCATCGCACTCCTTGATGGCCGATCTTGAAGTGCTCACCAAAATACGAAATTTAAGACGAAAAATATAGCCGTCCGGTCAAGATACAAGGGCGTGATTATCATTCGCAGGTATTTCTAATTGTATTCGACTTATTTCCTTACATTTTGCGTATATGTTAAGTTTCAATTTAGTATCCCTTTGAGAAACCAATCTATGCAGTCCTCTGAAAGGGCCAGCAATCCATTTGACTCATGCGGTACTTCCACTAAAAGCGGTCACTCCAGGTTGCAGCTCCTCAGGCCCAATGCATTTCCAACGGCAAATTTTGGTTCCTACTGCTCAGCAACAGCGATAGAAGCGGCATTCGGCCTTATGTAGCAACTTTTGTAGCAGGCAAAATATTGGTCTGGAGCAGCCACTGACGCTTTGGGAGCAGATGCCAACAACTGTTACCATGTCACATGAAAATGAAAATGAGATTGTATTGCTAAATGAGTTCATCTTTGATAATGACTGAGGGGTCCTCTTTGATACTGGAGCATATTACTTACTACGTTTTGTGATAAAAACAGATAGGAAAGGAACGTAGGGCCTTCGTTTTATAAATAAGGCTCTGGTCAGAATAGGTTCCATTTAAAATGGGTACTAAAAATGGTTGAAAAATAAATCATAGCCCAACCCTACAGTTGGGTGGAATAAAGCCTCTCTCCCTTCTCCATATTACATTCAGTAGTTTATTTAGGCTGTAAATAGAATTTCTGCAAAATGCCAGCAAGAACCAGCATATCCACTAGATGTCCATCAATAAAAACGCCTCCCCCAAATTTCATTAACATACCAACCTTAACACTCCAATATCATAAACTGCAAAAACAACAATCCCCAAATATTATGAAAGCCTACACTTGTGCTTTAAAGGTGATACTGCTCTTTCAGAGTTAAGTCAAAGTTTGCTGCTCTTTCGATTGACAGCTGCACGGGAATTATAGTCACTACCATATTAATTTAAATATAGACCCACTTTTTTTTTCTCTCTTTACTGACTCAGTTTTTTTTTAATTATTATTTTTAGTAGAGATCGATTTGCAATTAAGACAAAAAAGTCGACCAGTAATAATCCTGAGCATGAACTCCGTGCCTATTGCGCTAACCCTCCCCCAGGTCAGCCGCTGCTCCTAGCAGTACGGTGCAAAGCTGTGAAGCTTGATGCGTGCATGCTGGTGAGATGCGCTGAAGGCTGATGAGAGCGGCGCAAGTGCGACGGTACTCTGCAGTCAAGGCACGAAGGCATGTGGCAAACATGATAATCAAGTGATCTTATCAGGAGTACAAGACCCTGGCTCTGTCCAGTCTTGGGCACTAATTAGTTACTAGTAATGCGTCACCAACAACTAGTTACTTTTTTTAATAACTTTTACCTGTAACACATTACTCTTTAATACTAGTAACTTGTGACTCTAACACTGTTACTTTTTTATTGGGTAACTGTAACTGTTTAGGCCGTTACAGTTACTTTTTTTACTAACTAATTGGACCCCGCTGCCGTGGACATGGTGAAATTGACATCATGAAGTATTTTTCTCAATACGACAAAAAAAAGAAAAAAAGCGTGGACACGCCTTAGACCAACAAAAAATTGCCTGGTTCAGCCCATGACCGAGAATGGACGACGGACGAGTCAGCACGAAACTGGGAGACAAAGGAAGCTGGCGCCCGCGGTGGTAGGGGTGGCAAGGAATTTGTCTGTTTCACCGACTTTGGCTCACTCTTTTCTTGTGGGGACCATCTGCGGGTGTTGGTGGTCATGTGACATGTCTCCGAGTATTCCGTCTAGGATGTGACTGCACCCCCCCCTCTCCCTTCCTCTTTGTCGGATATCTGTCCGTGTTGTCGTTTGTACACCCTGCCGCTCGCCGTTTCCCCTTCCCTATTAGTTTTCAAGGAAGCCGTCCCCATATTGTGCAGAAAGCCGGCGTTTGTTTAACTTATTCATTCTCTTCGGAGCCGCTCGAGTAAACAGGAAGGCAGGTTCAAGTGTTAATGCCTTTTTCGGTGATAGCCTCAAAACACCCCAATAGGGGGACACTTTGTTGTGGAACCTATGTAGTGCAACAACTGAAGCGATTTCAGGGATAACACGTGTCATAAGTAAGAGAAACAGCTTATTCTTGTGCTTCTTCCATAGTTGGCGTTTCGGACGCAGATGCCGCAGTGGTCATCGCACACTCGTGGAGCACCAGAAAGCCTCACTTTGTCTCTTGGTGGTGGTTCTCCCTATATTTTCGGGAAGCTGTTTGACCTGCTCTGTTTAGGCCTGCTTCCGAGTATGTTCCATAACAATTATGCGACCATCTGTGTCCTCATTCGTTTCGGACTGAAAAATAAATGAAAATGTTGACTGACCAGGGCCGATAAGAATTTTGAAAAGCGGTTGACTATAAGTTACAACAATTATTTCAAAGAAATTATGCGCATCAAAATGCTGAAACGGCAAATGATGCAAAAAAGAAACACCCTTCGATTTAGATTTTTCTAATTTCTTAGTTTACCTTTCTTCTCACTATAGTGTAACAAATAAAATATTATTGTTTTGGTTTGTGATTTCTTGTGTCCATTTTTTGTGTAACGAGAAAGTATGGCATTACTGTTTTTGCAGTAACTGTAACACGTTACTCTTTGAAGCCTGTAACTGTAACTGTAACAGAGTTACTTTTTCCCCCTAGGTAACTGTAAGTTTAACACTGTTACTTTTAGTGGTAACGTGCCCATGACTGATTCTGTCTTACCACAGTATACCACCATCCTACTATTTTTCAAAGTTTTCTCGCGAAATTTAGACGATGCTGGCAATCAACCGGCCAGAGCGATTGATGAGCAATCTTCATGCATTGTTGCACCTGAAGTCGACGCTATAGCCGTCTCTACAGTATCAAGGCGCGATAGCATGGCATTCATCTCTCTCTGCACATTCTTTTAAACGCTACACCAGTTGTCGGCAACCTTTCCGCTGCGGCGGGCCAAATAGCCATGAAACAGAGATGGTGCGGGTTGGAAGGAAAACCGGGGGTGGGTGACCAGCTTCTGAGCATGAACGACATGACGCACAGTAATTTGCTCCGCCCTGTGCTGCACGCCGTATCTTCCGAGGCTCTTGGGGCCCAGGTTCCCGCCTCCTCCATCATTTTCGAGGGACACAGTTCTCATTCCAACATCCAAAGACCCAGACAAACTAAAAGCCGTAAGTCCACTAACCCTTTGTAATGATGGCCTCCAAGATTTATGATAAAATTCTGACCAGTTGCTTGGCCAGAATCTCTACAGTAAGCCTCTGTGTGACAGAAACTGTTGAAATTGGCAATGGTACAAAACCGTGATTTTGAACTGTACTAAAGAAATTGATGAGGTGTTTTTTATTTCTGCCTATGGAGCAGAAACGTGTGTTAGTGCCCCGTCTGTGGCTTGTCTGTGGCTTTGGCGGATGATGAAATGTCTTTCATCAAGAAATACAGCAGAATTGTTTAAGTGTTCGGGCGTGCCTCAAGAGGGTGGATTATGTTTTATCTATCTTGCATCTTTTATGTTTTCCTTTCTGTTCCTCGCAGGAATAAACTTCAGTCAGCGTTGTGTTCGTTCACTTCTTGTCCTTGTCCTTTGTTTTTTTCCCGCTGCTTCCAAGTTTTCATTATCCACCAGCTAACCCAACTTCACGCCTTGTTATTTGCCTGTCTAGGATGCTTGCCCCTTGTGTGTTATCTTCCACTGTGCGAACCAGGGAATACCAGGGCTCATAGCCTGCTTGCAAACGAACGAAGAGAGCGACCGTCAAGCAGCCTGCGACACAGGCAGTTCGACGTGCTTGGAGGATTATTTCCGTTGAGATAATCTCCAAAAAGCCTTCCCGGCTATGTTCCGGGTCTTCGCGAAAAATGGCTGATAGGGTTGGGTCCGGGGTGTGAGAATTGAATAGACATGTTCGTTCATTTGCTTTAAAGCTGTGCAAAAAAGCAGCTCTCTTCTACATAAGCCCCAAAACGCCCCGGATTCTGTCCGACCGTCGTGAAGTGACTATCGTCGACACTGTATATTGGATATGCTGTGTTCTTTAAGAGCTTTCTCAAATCCTGTTAAGATAATGTGGCATCGTGGGGTACGTACAATATATGTTGTTCGATTGATGAGACTGTTGAATTTTTTATTGAGAGAGGGGAATACCCACGCATTTCGGTTATCCTGTGTGGTCAAATATTTTCGACGCTTAAAACCTTTGTAAATTGGTGTGGCTGAGTGTATGGTGCCGTCAAAAGATCAACATAATATGAAACAAACATTCCAGTTGCATTTGTTCTGTCGGGCACAAACTCACCAAAACAGCTTTAATTTTTTTTTTTTTTTTTCAAAAATAGTACAATGCATTCTTAGAAAGCCCGAGAAATTCTATTCGCCATAGAACACAAAATAAAAAAATAGAACGCGGCATTTTAGCCTCCACCACCGAAGTGTGCCTACGCAGGCTCCCTTAGCCCACCTATTAGAAAACCCACAGCCCAGCGCAGACGGGCAACACTGACTCACCCTCTCAAAACCAAAGACGCCCGCTGTAAATCGCTTTGTTCGAGATTGCTGCTGGAAAGGTCTATACCACCTGCTACTGTTCATGAAGCAGCTAAGCAGAGCACATAGATACTCTAACCGATCACAATGAATAGAGCTAGCTATTCATAGTGATTGAAGTGAGCACCGTTCGCACAAAAACCGATTACCCTTTGTTAGGCATGTGCATATAATGGATTTTGGCTTCAAAGCAAATTCAAAGTGAATAGTGGTTTTTGCCAAATATTTCTAGAGCGCAGCTCTTAGGAGCCCGTTTCCGGCTTGAGCAGCGTCACTGTCGGCGTAACCGCGCGGCGCATTATGGGAAATGTCCTATAATGCACCGTGCGAGCCCCCCCGGGGTCACGTGACCTCGGGGGGAGGGGGGGGTCCCGTGACCCTTCCCCCTCGAGGTCACATGACCCCTCGCCCCCGAGGTCACGTGACCCACTCGCCCCCGAGGTCACGTGACACCCCTCCCCCGGAGGTCATGTGACACCCCTCCCCCGAAAGTCACGTGACCCCCCCCCCCCCCCCAGGTCACGTGACCCCCCCTCCTCCCCCAGGTCATGTGACCCCTCCCCCACAAGGTCACGTGACCCCCTCCCCCCCCCCCTTCCGGAGGAGATTCAAGAATGAGGAGAGGAGGAGGGTAAGGAGGTGAGGAGGAGGGAGGAGATGTATACCTTCCCCTCAGTACCCTTCCATCCTCCTCCTCAAGAGCTGCACTCTAATTCGGCGTTACAGGGAGTTGAAAACAGCTTTCATTTTTTAATTGAATATTGAATAGCTGCTGCACCTTCCTCCATGCCTTTCACTACTGTTACACCAAGCCTAAACGAAAATTCAGCTGAACTTGTGAAGGTTGTTCTTAAGCTTATAATGCCCACTTATGAGCTCTGAAATTTAATCTTGCTATACTTATAGACTGTGGCCTCAGAAAGTCCAATACCTACATTGGGACGGAAAGTAAACGACAAGTTTTCCATAAAATTAAACCTATAAAGGAGCCCAGCCATATTTAATTGAAAGGAGTTATGAGTCTGCTTGTATATGCAAATATTTTCTTTGATTCTGAATTAAAAAAAAACAAAAAAACAAGCACAAATAATGAACATAGTTTGCTAGAACATTGCAGCCTAACATATACCCTTGCATAATAGCCACGGTTAAATTTTGAAGATTTTACTGCAATGTAAATGTCAACAACCACACCATTTCCTTTTCTTTTTTTTTAATACGCCAGGCGTGCATGTGCATTAGATCACTTTGAAGGTGCGTTTTTTGCCTAAGAGTGCGGCTGTCAGCTTCGTGGGTATTGCTTCTCCGCAGTGCACCGGTGCTTGAGGAGAAGCGCACTCAAGGGGCTAGCCCGCCGCTATCAACATTTTAAAAAGTATGAATACTGCAGCTTATTTTGAGAAGAATATCAAATAGCATATTATTTGAAACTACCATTTGAAAATTTGAATATTCGTGGAACCCTACTCTTCGCACATAGTACTTAGGTATCCGAAAGGATGTAGAGCCCTTCCACTTCACGTGAAGATGGAGGACCAGCGAAGCTGTTATCCTTACGACGCCGAGAGGATGACGTCTAGAGGACGACGTCTAGAGGACGACACCTAGAGGACGACGTCTAGAGGACGACCTCTAGGACAACGTCTAGGACAAACTCAAGGATGACTTCTAGGACAACCCCGAGGACGTCTAGGACGACTTCTAGGATGACCTCGAGGATGACGTCCAGGATGACCTCAAGGATGACTTCTAGGACGACCTCGAGGACTGCCTCTCGGACGACCTCAAAGACAATCTCTAGGACGATCTCAAGGACGACTTCTAGAATGATGCCTAGAGAAATTCAACCTTTCCACTCTAGTGAAAACCAAAGCTTAACCCTCGCTTTTCGCGAGGGTTAAGCCTAAAGTTTGTTAAGATCCCCAACACTGAGCTCTTCCGTTTCTAGGTTGAGGGTTCAAAGATAACTCATGCAAAAAACTAACATGTTTTCTTCATTTTTTTTACAAAAAGAAGGAATTCCTTTGCGAATAGCGGACGCCAATGAGGCAAAAAGGCAGTACCCACCCAGTGCCACCTGGAATCGTACAAACATCTATGTGACTTCAAATTCAGCTATGATATCCTTGCAATAGTTTTCCACGGTGTTTCAAAGGAATAAGTAACTAACTGTTCACCTGGAGCAAAACCAAACTTGGGAATATTGGAAATGACTCACATCTTTCTGGTCACTGGAAACGACTCTGGCAAGGCTGGTGAGGCAAGTAAGGGCGGCAGGAATGATGGCATCGTGCCTGTTCACAAACACCTGCAGCAGAGAAAATATTGCCGTCTGGCTGGGCCCAGTCTACATACTGTAAACCACTTCATATTCACGACCTCTATACTTCCCAAATTTGGTCAATATGTTTCGGAATATTTCGTGGGCACTTAATTTCTCAAGCTGGAAGATATGGAAACTCTTCCCCCAAGCCCCACTTTCAAGGTGGTCAACGACATTGTTTTCCAGGGGGACAAATATCTTCCCATCGAAGCACAAGTGATTTTAAGCTATTAATTGGTATTGTAACCATCGTATCAGAGGTCTGTCTCTTGTGGTAACTCAGCAATAATATTACTTCAAGCATGGATTTAATGGTGAAGGTGTTTCATAAAGCTGTCTAGGTAAGTAGACATGCAGGCTTATGGCTTATTTTATTTGATATGGTATTATCAATCAAACCTAGACACCACAAAATATGATCCTATGAATGTAAGTGCACCTTTATGTATTCCAACATCCAATAAAGCGCCACGATAATGTCTTTGAATGTTCACAGTTGGCCCGATTTCTTTGTGCAACCAATTTTTCAAGATTTCCAATTGATGCATAAAATCTGTGGAAATTAAGTTATTTTTTTAATGAGTTACACACCAAACGAGCACATTTATATGTGACTATAGGATTCCCAAAACTCAAATAAAAAGCAAAGCTAATATGTTTATTAACTGCAGCAACATTTTCTGCATCTACAAGGTAACTTTAAACATACTCCTGCTCTTACTGATTATTTATAGTTTGTTCATTTGCATACCTACGTTGCCTGAAGAGGGGCACAGACATAAAATTTGTACGCTACAAACATAAGGTGAAACACAATTATTCAAGAATTGATACACAACGGTAGTTAGAAGTAACACTGAATCTTCTGAAAAAACAACTCTGACAATGCCGTTTCAACAATGTCACTTGGCAGGTTATTCCAATCTTCAATGGACCGTGGGAAAAAAGAGCATTTGAAAACATCAGTTCTGCAGTGAAATGGACAAATTTTTTTTTAATTCTCTCTTCTTTCCAATACATAGGCAGGCTCGAAAATATACTTGGACCTACAAATTGCGCTATTGTTGTAAAACACTTTATGCAACATTTTGAGACGGAGCAATTACCCGTAACAAATCTCGTAGCAAGATTCTGTACCTTTTCAATTTGATCTATAAGGTTCTGTCTGAACGGATCCCATATCTCACTGGCGTAGTCGAGGACAGACCGCACGAGAAAAAAATAATGTCTCCTTCAACGATGGGGGAGCGATAATAAAATTATGTTTAATAAATCCCAGTGACCGGCTTGCACTAGCTGTAATATCGTCAACATGTTTATTCCATCTTAAATCGCACGAGAAAAACACTCCCGAATATTTAGCCTACAATGCCAGCTCATTAAAAGCACATTAAAACCTGAAACAACGAGAATACTAAATACATTGAAATATTAAATGCTGCAACGCTTACCAGGCTATGAATCTGCTTCCAGATAGTGACAGTGTGGTCTCTGAAGCACTGGGGAGGGAACACTTGACTTCCTCGGCTCTACAAATCGATTCAAAACCCTCATGAGTTGCAATTCCCAGCTGGCAAAGTTCCTTCTTTTTGATTGCACAGTCACTTTACGTCAATCTGCTGTTGTAAACTGCACATTTCCTTTCCTCCTACAATTTTCCGAGTGGTTTCCCATCCCGCTGACTCCCCATTTTAAACCAAGCTCCAAAAGCTTGCATTGGAGCTTGTCTGACCAAGAAGTCTGCATGTCACTCAGCTAAGCAACACAATATTGTAAAAAAAAAAAAAAAAATCTTGCAGTTTTGAGGACAATATGCCACTGCCTTCTTGACATGCAAAACAAATTTCCAGAATAAAAAAAAATGCTCAAGGATTTGATTATGCACCAGAATTGCACTGGGACTCTTGAACACTGAACGAGAAAAAATTAAGAAGACTACACGATTGAATCCATACAATGTAAATCACAGTCTTGAAACAAGCCATGGCCGCATGAAAAAGAAGTTGGTACTGCGGTTGCTCAAGGCAGGGTGACCCCATGCGATTCCTTACCAAGAGTTTCAAAGAATCCAGCTTGGCCGTGAGCAAGTCTGACTCTAGCTTTTCAGCAGCCAATGGGACGCAGTGTTTCCCAAACCCCGGCGAAGCTGTGAGGCAGTTGAGCAATGAATCAGCCAGCTCTTCGCGGCTGATTCTGCCGGGGTCAGTGGCGGGCTGTACAAGTAAGACACATTCAAAATTGACTAGCCTCAAACAGAAACCTGAAAAATGTCTTGTGGAGGGCAAGATCAATCGAGGAGAGGCACTACAGACTCGTAAAAATAATTTTTAAAGGTGCAAGGCGAAAGCTCTCACACAGTTCAGACAACTTCCGAAGCAACACGGCCTTACTGAGCACCAATGCAGTGGACACAAAAGCCAGACAGTTCAGGTGTGCACCATGAGAGTCCAAGCTGGCAAGATTTCACTGTAGCACATTGACATAGGCATAATCTGTTTCATCACCAGTCTGGCCATGAAGAGAGCAGCATGTTATATGTACTAGGACCAGCCTAAACTCATGCCGAGAAATCTCGGAAGTAGTCCCTCGAATGACGAAATATATAAAGCAAGCCGTGTTTTCTCGTTTGATGTGGCACATGGTGCAATACTGGGGTTAATATAAAATGGTGCTGCTTTGGACCAACACTCCTTCCATTTCAGAAAAGATCAAGTTAAGTTCTTGCCACGGGTGGCTCGGAAACTCCCACATTCCATGGCTTCTGTTGCAGCAAGACATGCTTACAGGGTTGAAGTCCACTGGAAAGTAGCACGAGCAGACGTCAAACAAAGGCTCCTCCAGGTCACCTACACAAAATAATTGTGTCAAGAGTAGCAATAAAACTTGGTGCCAACTTGCACCTTAATTAATTGTTCTACATTAACGCATCTTTGATAGTTCATCAATGAGCCTGTGTTTTGCTCGTATATGGTTTACCAGAGAATATATGCAACCGCTTTAGTACATCACAATCTAACATCAACATAGACAAAGAATACCCCCAGATCTTGAGCATGTCAGCAATAGGCAAGCAACTGGCTAAAGTCTTACCCAAGATGAATTCATTGCACAACATGGGAACAATGGCAAAGACTTGTAGCAGGCAGCGGGGGTCTCGTTCCCCTTCCATTGCTTGGATGCAACCAAGGACAAACTTGCTGCCCATTTTCCTCAACACTGCATAGGAAACAACAACTCCTGTAACACTAATAACAAAAACACTTAGAAGAAGACATCTGGTGAAACACTTGCACACACATGGATACTGATAAAAATGTTACACACCAATAGGAACCAAGGTACTTTTTAACAGAGTTTTATCAAAGAGAAGTAGCCAGACACTTAAAATGACTCGGTTTCATTGAAAATAACAGTCCTCTTAGTTTGAATGAAGCCAAAGGAAGGGAGTTGTAGTTGACTACAACTGCCAGTATCAATTCCATTTGCAATAGCAAACTAAACTGATGTTGATATTAAAGGGCCCATGAAACGAATTTTGGGCTGGGATAAATCAATTTAGATTGGGATTCTACTAATAGCACATCGTTCAGTGGGCAAAAAGAAAAAAAGTATAAAGTCAAAAGCCTCACTTTCGGTACGAAAATTTGAAAACACAGCGGACTATTTCGTACCTCCTTCCCTTCGCAAGCTCTCTGCCTTTTCGGTGTGCTACATCCGCGGTCCCCAAAGCGCATCACCGAGTCCAAACCCACGTCACACGACACCGGACCTCACTTATTCCCTTCACCCCTAAGCTGACATTGCGGTGGAAGCAAGTGTGGCTGGCCCAACGAGCATGTAGCTTCCACAGCACTGTCAGCTTCGGGGTGAACAGGTTGGGGAAAGCAACTTTTGTCTGAATTTGATTGACGGGCTAATCTTCTAGGGGGAGAATGGCTGTGTCCGGGTACACAAACAAGAGTCCGAGCAAGAGGGGAGTCCCTCCTTTCCGTCTTCTTGAACTGTTTGGTACACTGTGCGATTTATTAGTTGAGGAAAGCTAAACAGGAAAAAGTTGGAAAATCGCTTCATGACTCTTTTAAGAATGGAACTACCGGCAGTAAAGAAGAATTTGAACACCGACTGAATGAGCTCGTTGGTTTGCTTGACAATTTAAAAAAATAAGCACACAAAATAGACGGGCAAGCACAATGTATTGTGAGCTTGTCTGTCCCCATTTTGAGCGCTTATCTTTGTTCAATATATCTGAGAACTTAGAACAATGGGATCAGTAGAGAGGGGGTCCCTCAAAGCATGACAGACCTGAGGCATGGCTAATCAACATGTGCATCAACATTCTGTAGATGATGTAGCGCTCAGCCTGGAGTAATCCTGGCATCTGAACGTCAAAAAAGATGACTTGCAGAAGGTGCTCAATCTCGGTGCTTTCCAGAGGTCCTTGGCTCACCTAGAGGGGCATGTCAGAGATGACCAATTTATTGACAGAGCACAGGTGATCTGCCAACACAAATTTGGGAGTGAGAGCTGGTGTATATGCAACTCCACATTGTACTTCTCCTCTTTCTCCCTCCTTACTCTTTCATCAACATTTTTTCCCTTGTCCCTCAATTGTAAATTGTCCCCCTTATTGCACAGTTATTTATTTAATTATTTATTAGAGCACTCTCAGGGACCCAAGAGCCCCGAGGGCATTAAAGAGGGGTGTAACTAACTACAGACACCCAAATAGAAAAAACAAATTAGTATAACACAGTCAAGGGACACTTACACAAAAATAATTATTAAAGGAGCACTGACATCCCTAAAAATTTATTTTTTTATTTTTTGCCAGGCCATTAGTATGGTGTCAGAAGACTACCCAGTCAATATTTTGCTACAGCGTCACATATATTTTCAATAAAGTAAAAAAACTCAACTGCTCGAAACCGAAACCCGACTGGGGAGGAAGAAGAAATATAGAGGAGGAGAGTGTTGGCAGAAGTCACGTGGCTGTGCAGCTTTTTTTCTCTCCAATTAACGTATTTGCAGCTTTTTAGAAGCCACAAAATATAGGTATCGTATTTCTTTTCTATTCTTAATATTGTGCGTGTGCCTTCGATGACCAACGACTCTGATTACATTTGGTGGTTGTCTAAACCATAGAAAACAGCTCGTGACCACGGAGATGAGAGCGAGCGCAACTTAAACCGGCCAGTTCTCGATCGACGGTTTTTGGGCGGGAAGAAAACGAAATTCGAGCTGCGAAATGTTTTCTGGTAGTTGGGCTTTTATTTGTCATGTACAAGTAAAAGCCTTGGCGAGCATAAATACCCTGTCAGTGTCCCTTTAAGAGCAGTTTTAAACAAATCTAATGAGGGTACTAATGATGCAGGTGGGTGGTTCCATTCAGGTGATGTTCTAAGCAGGGATGGGCAAAATACATGCAAATATGTATCGAAATACAAATACAAAATACTTCGTCAAAAATGTATTTAATTAAAAATCTAATTACATTCACAAAAAAGCATTTAAGTGCAAGATACAAATACAATCAAATGTATTTGGTCTCCTCCAAATACTTTTCCAAATACATTCCTTAAAATTTGCGTCAGCGACTTCAGGGCACCTGCAACGGGTTTCTGGGTATCTCATTTTAATTTTGCATCGCACACTCGGGAGTTAGTGTGCGAGGCTCTAGTAACGTGATAGAAATATAATCACAAAAAAATGTAATCAGCTTGGATGTAATAGGTGAAAAAAGTACAGAGCTTCAAGCAGCTTTTTTTGTCGATTACACTTTGGTATAGACCAACAAAGGAACCGAGACGACCAAGACGCGCAGCACTAGCTAGAGAATTTCTTATTGTTGCAACTCGCACCAGTTACGAAAATCTGGACGACCCGTGCATATAGAATGTACCACGCAAAAATAAGGATGGAAATCAGGCTGGAAAGCATTACAAGTTGTCACAGGCACTTATTTAGCCAGTCTGCCTGTGAACGTCGATTTCGTCACTATTCTTGCCCTGGACTAGCACCGTAATCACAAAGTCACTAAACGCTTGTGCTTGATTGAGAGACACTGCATTCGGTGCAGAACATAGTTTTGAGGGATGTATTTTCGCCCAGAAGATTGTACTTAATTACAAGTGTATTTAAAATACCCACATTTTAGTATTTAAATACACACGTCAAATACATTACTCAATTTGTAATTAAATACAAATGCAAAATACACAAAGTATTTGAAATATGTATTTCAAATACTTGTATTTCAAATACTGCCCATCCCTGGTTCTAAGTATGAAGAAATCATTATAGGCTGAGGTTTGACAATGAGAAATGCCAACTTTGAAGTGAGGATCGATGCATGGAGAAATGTAAGAGGGGCTGAGGAAAAGTTCTTTTTTAAGGATAGGACTAGTATGATATATTTTGTAGAAAAGACACAGACGAGAGCATTTACGACACAATGAAAAAGTTGGAGAGGTCAGCTTTCATGGATGACATGCTGGCTGTATGATGATGGTGGCTAAGTATAAAACGAGCACTACCATTTTAAAGTGCCTCCAAGTTAGAAGTGAGTGAGGTCTGTCCAGAATACCAGATTGCGGCAGCATAGTCTAATTTGGAGCGAACGAGAGGTTTAAATAATAGGAGTTTGAGCAAGACCAGAACTAAAGGAAAGTTACATCTTATGTAGCCTAACACAAAATTAGCTTCAGCAAGGACAAGATCAATGTGGAATTGCCAGGATAGGTTATAAGTAGGGTTCCATGTTTTTGGAGTTTAATTCTCGTAAAATTCAAAGGGTGTTTCTCCGAGTCTATTTTTAGCTGCAACTTCGGGGTTTATCAAAGTTCATTTTCGTTAGATTCCCAATTCTCTAAAAACAAATGCAGAGTTTAATTTTACCGTGCTCCCAATTTTTCAAAATACAAAAACAAAAGAAATGAAGTCCGAACACATATGTACCCTAAATTGTTCAGAACACCTGTATCAAATCAAATTTCTGCATCTGCATTTACAATTGGAGCCTTTGCTATTGGCGATACTACCTATGCCAAGACAAATATTGCAAAGAAGTGATGCCTCAATGAGAGTCTATACTTTGAAATAACTGAACTCCTGGACATGGTCACTGGGCAGCATGGCAGCTTCAGCTGCCCTCCCCCCACCGTTGAAATCAACGGGTTCATAGCTTTCAGTGCTATAAGAACACTATCCCTCTTTCCTTTAAAGAACGCCTGAAAAGAAAACATTTTTTTTTAAACAGTCTGGACATGTCTCCAAACTGTTTTTTAAACAGTTTGGACACATGTGTCAAAAAATAAATTTTACGCGAAACAAAAAATTTTTTTGAGAGCGATATTGACGGCGAGAGATTTATTTGAAATTCTGCGCGCAAAGTCCATGATGTCACGGAATGGTCATTTGTTCCACGAGATGGTTATTCGAACTTTCCACCTCAACGGGAAGGCAAGGCCGATCAACCTCTCCTACAAGCGCCCGGAATGCCGAGAGAGAAAACAAGTGGAAAGGAGGTGACTGCCAACTAAATCGTGTCTCACGCCGTCAATATTGCTCTAAAAAAAAAAAGCACATTTTTTTTGCGTAAAATTACTTTTTCGAAATGCGTGTCCCAGCCAGATTGTTTAGAAAAAAAACTTTTTTTCTTTTTCTTTTTAGGGGCCATTTAAGAAGCACACACAGTATGGTCTTAACTAGAAACCTAGAGAATGACTTTTGTCATGACCCAGAGGTACCATGACCCGTTGCCCTGAACAAACCTTGACGAGCTAGAAGGTAAATCCCCTTTCGTCAGTAGTTCGAGACTTCAAAGGAAACTAAAGTGACCTCTCCTCAGGACCACTGACCCTGTGCTTTTATCAAATTTATTTGTAAAACACCATCTTTGAGGCTTTTTATTTTGCTGTCACGAACTCAAAATTCCGAGATTTTTTTTAATAAATCTGAACTGACGCAAATTTTATTGGTAAGCATTTTTCGGATCTATATAAAAACATGGAACCCTAGTTATAAGTATTGTGGTTAATGCAATAAGGATTGGTTTAAGTATTGCAGTTGCTGCAGCGACAGCTTCATGCACTTGTCGATGAAAACAGACATATCTCTTTCTTCTTGTAGGAATGAGATGATCGTGGCCGTTTTTGCCAGCGCATGAAAGGAATGTTCTTAATTTCCAGGTCTTGGGTAAAAAAAGTTAGTGCCGACTGTGGCCCTGAGAGTTTTTATAAGACTGCTTTTAGGTAATCGGATATTGATTACAACCTATGGTTTGCTGCTACATGCAACGTCTATGCAAGATACGTTTGCAGGTGCTGTACTGCGACGCCAAAGTCTTGCCGCATGATTCCCATATCCCACAATTAATGGGCTGAAGTCCAAAAATCTTAAGCCACATTGTTATATAGGATGTCTGAAGTCACCAGGCTCAATCTAAAAGGGTTTGTAAAAATTGACGCTTGCACGTAGCAATCTAAACTTTTCGTCAAAGGTGTAATTCACAGGTCCATTTTTTCTTGTAAAATTACAAAGCGTAGCTCCCTTTCTGTAAAAAGATTAGGGCCAAAAAACTTGTCGAGGTCAACGGTGGGTGGCGACGCGGACGAATGCGTCAAGCGGCAGGGTGTGTTTGGTGCACGTATTGATAGCTGGCGCTACCTCCTATCGAGAGTGCTCACGACGATTGTGATTTACTAAAATGAAGATAATCTGTTTGTAGTGTACTTTTGGTTTAAAAATAAATGTCAACATAAAAGCAAAAAAAAACAAACAAAAAAACTGTGATTTTGCTGCCGATGGATTTCGTCGGCGTGTCGTCTTCTTTCTTTAGCTGATCAGCTACACCTTCTGACGCTGCTCCCGACGCCATCTATCAATATGTGCGCCAAACACGCCCCATCATCTGCGTCGCTGCCCGCCGTTCAAAAAACTTACCCTGGCAAGTTTTTTGGCCTATTTCTTACAGAAAGAGAGCTACGCTTTGTAATTTTACAAGATAAAAACAGACCTGTGAAATACACCTTTGATGAAAAGTTTAGATTGCTTCGTGCAGGTGTTGATTTTTACGGCCCATTTCAGGTCGAGCCTGGTGACTTCAGACACTCTATATATATACAAGTGGTCTGATTATGGCGTTCAGACAGGGATGGCCAGAGATGTTTCCCTTCTATCTCCCAAGTCAAACTTACCACCAATTCATAGATGCCCTGAATGGCCCAAGTCACCATGGAAGGATGGTCCTCGAGCCTACTAGTATAATAACGCAGCAGAGTGGTTGCTGTTCCACAAACATGGAAGAGTCAGAAGTCATGAAGCAGTCAGAATAAAGGACTTCAAGGCAGTTGGAAAGTTTAGGGAAGAAAAGGTTACCTTGCTCTTCACCAAGAGTGTTATGGGGCAGTCCTTGAAGCACCCGGGTCATAAACTTCACTCCAGTTCCTCTTATGTCGGGATCTTTGTGAGTCAAAATGTGTCTGAAAGTGAACTGGTCTCCGTAAATAAAAAGATCACTGAAATGGCGTAGACAGTTAATACGCACCCCATACTTTCCACCATGCACGGCAGCTGCTTTCCATCTCCTTTGATCGCTGGGGAGATTTGTACGATTTGAATACACAACCAAAACACTAAATGCAAAATCGCACGGAGCAGGAGACTTGGAAGAGGGAAGTGACGTCAACGACTAGAGTGCAAAAAGCGCAACATAGCCCCCCAGGGGGCTATGTTGCGCTTTTTGCACTCCCAGGAGACTAGGGAGAGGGAAGTGACGTCAACAACGCAGCAAATGCAGATTGGATCTTGATTTTGTTTTCTTCTGTCAACATCCAATCTGCATTTGCTCTAGTCGTTGACGTCACTTCCCTCTTCCAAGTCTCCTGGGAGTGCAAAAAGCGCAACATAGCCCCCCAGATTTCTATACCAGCCTTTTATGAAAGCTAAAGCTAATAAGGTTACTAAAGGCGCCCCTGCCCTGACGGTTGTAATCGCGACCAAAGGGCGATGCCTCAGGGGACAATGCAAATACCGAAGGAAAAACCTAGAGTGGTCATCGGCAGAACGTGACAAGGGTGTCCTCGGGAAAGACTTTTAAGCGCCGTTCACACTCTTTGACTCGGGTTTTTTACATCGCAAGAATAAACTACGTATCGCCGAATACTAAGTATCTGCCAAAATGCAGCGCTAGATGACCGGATGAGTTGCCAAAGTTTCAGTACTTGTTGTCTTATTCAAAAGTTATTTATAAGTGATTTCTTGCAAATTCATTTGGGAAAATGGCGGCTGACGAAGCCCATGAATACATGGAGCTGAAGGTGTCAGCGACCAGCCCCATTTTCCCATTAAAATTTTCAGAAAATCCTTTATATATTTTATTAAGATAATGGTTAGCTCTGAAACTTTGTCATCTGGTTCGAACTGCTAGAGCTACATTTGGACGGAGACTGAGCGTTCGACGACGCGTAGTTTAGTTGTGCGGTGAAAAGCAAACTGTAAATTCTTCATAACCATGATCATTGGCGCAGTCCAACGGCGTAATCCGTTAGACACAAAGGGGTACAAAGAAGTCATGTACGAAAGTTGTGGATGCATTTCCCATACCATTGATATGCTTCGCAACACTTTCCTCAAAGTTATTCCCTTCACTGAGCTCGGAGATGTCCATTGCAGCAGACGCTTTTGAAAGGAGCACCGCTCGTGTTCGTGTGTGTTGATAATTTACCGCCAGGGGGGAAAGTCGCTCAATGCTCCATATGATGATGGTGATGACAGTAATAAGAATAGTTGTCCAACAACATAGCAACAATAAAAGGCGTATGCAAATTTTTATATTTTATCTGCGAGGCAAAGTATATTGTTGAGGGCCCGGCGATACCGCGAAAACGTTGCACGTAACAGCCACCTGATTTAATTAGGGTTTTAATTTGATTTGTTTTGAATGACTCTGAAGCAGGAAGTTACGCCGTAATTTTACAGTAGCTGAAAAGTTAAAATTCGAACGCTATATTAGAATAAACGAAACGAGGCACGAGCAGCAAACAAGAGATTGCCATGTGATCCAGGCCATCGAGGCTGCGGCTACACTACGCTCTACCGGCTCTACGCTCTGCTCTGCTGTTTGGTGTGCGACAGGGGTTCTGGGGGTTGCCTGGGTCAGCTGCGCTGCGTCGCGGGAGGGGGATGGCGATACCAGCGATACCAACAAGAGCTGAACACACATGAGTGCGACTCGTAACAATGTTTACTAGCGCAAGAAACTACGATGGGCGGTTGCATTGGCACCAGAAATAGTAGGCCCTCATCTGGTATCGAGTCCACCGATGAAACAAATTTACAGCAAACGGGTATGGACTTCATTGTTTTTTGCCAGGCAGTGTGCTCATTGAACGGCACATCTCGCTCACAACTTCTCCTATCGACGTCAACCGGGCAGATCGTGTCGCGTGCCAAATCAAAAGTGGACCTGTATTGGCGATCTTGCACATTTCTGAATGCGGGAACCTTCTCCCGTTGCAGCGTGGGGGTAGATTGCTGCTGCTGCTGCTCAGCTGGGATTAACCCTAAACTACTAGGAACACCGGCCGAAAAAAGGGGCCGGTTGCTACGCTGTGCAGCCTGCTTTTGGTTCGGATCGCCTCTGCGCTTCGCGTTAAAACCAAGTTCGCGTTTGTGCTACTTTAGATGCTTTGCGATCTCGGTTGGTTACATTCACACCTGAACATTGTTTGTGTTCATGATGCCCGTGGTCAACAAAACTATCAAAGTGTGCACGAATTTCCTTCCGGTCGTCGCGTAATATCTCACGGGCAAAGTAGCTTGTCTCAAATTCTTCACTCTCTGTGTGAGGCACAAATGGCTCAAGTCTTGCCTGGTTCAGCGTAATGGCATTGCTTACTGTCAGCTTACTCAGAAATGCGTTTAATCTATAGTTTCTATAGGGAAGAACCAACCGCTGCGGCACGAGAAGCCACGATGGAAGAGTGATGTGCCACTCATGGAAGGTCAGCTGCGTAGCAAGCGGGACGAGTTCTGGGACACTGCCCCGGCCTTTGAGGGTCGCAAGGAGATCTGGGACGCCCTCAAGGCAGCAGCCTATGCAGCCGAAACCAGTGACTTCACCTTGGCCCAGGCGATCATCGACGGCGCCAACATTTCACTTCCCAATGGTACCTGCCCCCTCTGTCTGCCAATGGAGTGTTTGAGTGGTCCGTGACCCCGGGCAGCCTTCGGCAGCAGCCCCCGTAGGGTCGAGAGACTAGGACACCAATAGGTCACTTGCATCGTCTGGAGAAACAGACTGGTGTCTGTTTCTCTAACTTTGCCTCAGTAAATGTGAGGGGTAAAGCTGGAGGTACCTTTGAACGGGGCTGTGCAGCGACTTCTTTTTTTGGGTCAATTAATTGTGGGAGTTAGTCTCTGTCGGCTATAGAAGGCAACGTTACGGGGGGTACCACATGGTTTCCCCTTGGGTTCTGTCTTCAAGGTTCTCAGCACTGCCTCCATGAAAGTCAACGTTTCAAGGTCCAGTTCGGCTACAGTAGAGCACCATACCCGCTTGGCACCAGCAAAGGTTGCGGCGAGCGATCGAGACAAAAGATTGTTCGCAATGGGGACGACAGGGGTGGGGGTAGCAGCGTAGAGGAAGTGGTTTTATTGACTTCCGTTAGATGGTGCCGCGAAAACTTGTGTGCCCCCATGACGTGACACCGCGGTTTCCATAACCGCCAGACGTGGCTGCAGGTTGGGAAATCATATGTATTTTCCTTTGTGATTACGCAGTGGAATCGCAATATTTCAAAGGAAGGTGGCAAGTTTTTTTCTCACTTGTGCAAAGATAAATAATATAAAAAAATACAAGCTGCAAATTCTTTCAACATTAAACATTTTTGCGTTGCATTGCCCCTTTAAGGTTGAGCTGTTTGGGCTGGATCGAGTTAAGAACATTTTTTTTTTACTTTATGATGTAGTCAAAGTGCCGTAATTGTTTGGTTAAGGGGTGTCGCACTTTCTTGGTGCTCTTAAATTGGTCAGTGTGATAAGGACACGGTGTGTACAATGCTAGTCATTCATAAATCTGTAATCCACTGTAAAGTTTGTTACTATATCGCTGCATATGCAACAACGCTGCAGCATGGAAATTGAAGGGGCAGTGCAACAATTTTAATGTTGAGAAAGAGTTTGCAGCTTGTAGTTTTTATGTTTATCTAGGCACAAGTGAGAAAGAACATGCCACCTTCCCTTGCAAAACTGCTTTTCCGCTGCGTAATCGCAAAGGAAAAAAAAACAAATTATTTTCCAATCTGCACCTGCGTCTGGTGGTTGTGGGAACTACGGTCTTGCGTCAGTAGGAGTATGTGGAGGTGAACAAAACCAGTCCCCCTCCGCTACTACACCCGCCGTCAACCCTTTGGCAAACCTTCTTTTGTTTCGGTGAAGCTAATCCTTGAAAAGTCAACAATCACAGAGGGAGCAGCTGGGCGATCTGAAGACAGAGCCCAGCTGGAATCCAGGTGGTCCCTTAGTGACATCATTCAAAAGATGGTGTGATAGTTGAAGGGTACTTTGACCTTCTATTTATTTTATTTGAAAGCATGAAATGCTTTCCATTGCTACCCCCCAAACCCAAAATTGTGACAGTCCATCTGTTTTTTGCTAGATTTAGCAGGGAAAGTGGCGTCGCCGGGCCTATACACCCTGGGGAAATTGACGACACGTGACCGATACATCAACTCAGTTTCCCCGCTAAATTTAGTGTGAAAATTCATGTCTTGTGGCCAAAACATCAATTCAGTTTCTCTGCAAAATTTAGCGAGAAAATTCATGTCTTGTGACCCGGACATCAATCCAGTTTCCCCGTCAAGTTTAGCAGGGGAAATCAATGTCACATGACCTGTACAACCATTCAGTTTCCCTGCTAAATTTAGCAGGAAAATATACGTCGCGTGACATACCCCACCCCTCTCCCTTCCCTCTCCTTTTCTTTCCTCTTCCCCCTCCTAGCAACACCTCCTACATAACCCTAGGTGATGTTGCTCCCAGGGTGTTTCACATCATTTTATGCATTATACAACTTCGAAGGTTCATATGCAAGAAAAAAATGTTTTTCTTTTCTTCTTTCTATAGGTGGCACAGATTAATTCCCGCAGTTAATTGGCCGAAGTGCGAAAATTGTTGCACCCCTTAAAATGCAACTCCGCTCAATTCCGAAAATTTCGGGGTAATGAGTGATTTCACATTGAAAGGTACTAATAAAAGACACTACGTCATTTGCTTCGCGAAAATTAGGATATATATTGTTAAATCTTACTTCACATTAGCAGAAATCAAAACTCAAAGTTTGGCTCCGTCTGGCCACATTGGCCTCGGGCCGCCAAAAACATGGCTATCATGCTGTACGAGGTGTCGCGTGATTTTCTATGCAACGACGGGCGGGATTTGGGGCGGGCCAGCGGGCCACTGTTGGGGCGGGCGTGTGCCAGGTGCCAGTGTCGTCCGCACCGCACTCTTCACCATGTTTTGGTGTCTACAACATTTGACGTCGTCTGCACAACTGCGGCATCAGTCTGCGCATGTAGTGTGAACGAAACTGAGAGGCAATAATCACAAACGGTAAGATGACGACGGTGGTTGTGATGTGGGAAATGGCGGTAACGATGGGACGGCCGGATGGCTTCCAAAAAGCGCCAAGGGGGAACGTTGCGGACATCACCTGTTAGGCTTGCTCGGAGAAGTAAAAATAAAAAAAGGCAATGGTGATGACATTCAGCTCAATGTTGGCTACACCAAGGCCGTACCCTTGACCGCGCTGTTGATTGCGCCTCAATTAACCCGCTAAAGTCAGCCAATTTCGGCAACTTGATGCATTGCAAAGTTTGCCGGGCCGTTTAAGAAACATTTTAACATATCTAGTTCGTAATATTTGTTGTGTGGTTTTCCTAGGTGATACTGATGAGGACTGCATTGTTTTTTCAAGAACCAAAACGAAGCGGAATTGGTCTTTAACCGTTTTGGACGAGTCTAGCTCTCCAAGGTGGAACCGTTCCCAAACTGTTCAGGACGGGTATAGCTCGTCGGCTTTCCTTGGTTTGCATACTCAGCCATTTTGGACAAACCAGGCTCGCTCATGGCTTAGTTTGAGGCTCTGCCAACAGATGGCAGCAGTGATTTTTTTTCTTAATTGTGCTTTTATTTTCTGTGTGGCTAGAAACTTGACTTTGAAGGCAACAAATATAACTTTGAAGGCCATAATTAAGCAGATGAGGAGCAGAAATTCTCTTAAAACTTAAAACAGTTTTGGGGTTAATGGCTGCAGATTTTGTCAGTATGTGCTTAATAAGAACAGTAAACTATTACAATGTTGGTGCCACCTAGTCCACGTTATGGTGGCAAGAAACAAACCTCTGATAAAATTCATAATGTGACGTTAAAACAGTCGCTGGTTTGTTGTAATGTAGGAAAAAAAAAAAGAATACTGTAAACGACTAAATTTTCGGGGGGACCTAATTTTCGCAAATTTCGCAAATTTCGCAAATCGCCTACAATTCGCGAAAAATACGTCCCGCGAACAATTCGGGCAATATGTGAACGCTACGGAAGCTACACTCAATTCGCGAAAATTAGAACCCGCGAAATAATTTCAAATTTTCAGCTTTGGCCTGATTCACGAAAATTTTAGCCCGCGAAAATTAAGTCATTCACAGTATTTCATTCTTAGGCAATCTTTTTTTCTTTTGGCCAGCTTGCATACTCTATAAAGTTTCCATTTAGGACCATTGTCTTTTGGCTTAAATTTGTTCCACTTTGTCAACGAATTGGCTGCACATTGACCACCCCATTTTGCCAATCAAGGACTGCATGTTTATTTTTTTGCCATTAGCATTATTGTAAAGGTACACTAAAGACTTTTTTTCGTGAAATCTAGAAGAAAAACCTATTCACACATTGAAGCGTGTGAAACTTACAGCAGCCACAGAGCCCAAAATATTCTGTTCAGAATCGAAGAGGGAGGATACAATGATCCAGGTGGACTTTGTTGCATGTTGCAACTATAGAATTCAACTTCAGTCTCCTCTAAAAAGAAAAGCAAGACAGACACCACTGTGAGCCAAGGTAGTTAGACAATGAATTTTAATGCCATTTTATGTTGATTTCTGCATTTGTGACTGAATTCAGTTTTTTTTATTATCCAGTAAATAAAGGGGTTGGATGGTTTGTGCCCTTAGAAGTATAAATTTAAATTATTGGGCATTTTTTGTTATTATGCATACTTTCCAGGCATGGTTTAGATTGGGACGACCCTATACATGATTAACAAGCATGACTTAAATTGGGACAGCTCTTTGGTGCGGAACCGGTTAAATATTGCCCGCAGTATCGAACAGAATGGCACACCCTGTTTTACTAATGTCTATACCCGTTTCCACCTCAAGAACTGTAGTAAAAAAGGTTGAGCTCCTTGCGGAGCATCACTAATTTCCTTCTTTGTGTAGAGAATTAAAATAGGTGTAGGTGCATTTGAGATTAGATATATGTTATCAAGACATACACGTTTAAAAAGTCAGAAACAATGCTTCTTCCTCTGACAACCAATTCTTGTACAAACTGTTTCGCGCGCCGTATGAACATTGTGCTAAACTTCCTTTTTTCTTGAGGTGAAAAGGAGTATACAATGCATATGCCCAATAATTTGGGATGTTTTATATGGCACACCAAAGAAATACTACTTTTCCCATGAGTTTTGTCACTAGTGCTGTGTCAGCCACTGATGTGGCCCCGGGGATGGCTCTCTTGCCACTTGATAGATTTCGATTGACATCCATGTGCATCATTTTGGAAAATGTTAATTCAGCTTGGGGAGGGGGATTCAGTCCTAAAGTTTAGGACCCTTTTTTTTTTTTTTTCAGAAATTCTTTTTTATACATAAGTTTATTTATTTATTTTAAGTCACCCCCAGTACCAGGGACATAATTGCAGTGCAGGGGATTGAAGCTAACGAAAGCATGCTCGCATTCCATTTCCCATGTATTTTGTCAATAAAGGCAATATGTGGGCGTTATTTTGATTTCATGCCACTACTAGAAGCTCGTTACATGGCACGTAAACCGCGTCTAGGTAAGGATCATGGCCCGGGCCCAAGCTCTGCCCCCGCCCTGCCCCGGATCTCACC